GCCCAGCCAGGGCTCGCGTCCTCCCGGGGGCATGGGGCAGCAGGTGCTGGTCCCGCCCAGCCAGGGCTCGCACCCTCCTGGGGGAAGGGGCGGCGGGTGCGGGTCCTGCCCAGCCAGGGCTCCTGGGGGCAGGGGGCGGCGGGTGCTGGTCCCGCCCAGCCAGGGCTCCTGGGGGCAGGGGGCGGCGGGTGCGGGTCCCGCCCAGCCAGGGCTCGCGTCCTCCCGGGGGCAGGGGGCAGCAGGTGCTGGTCCCGCCCAGCCAGGACAACCGTGTCATGTCCGGGAAGCTGAGGCCAGTCACGGCGAGCTCGGCCCTTAGTGCTTTCTAGAAGTCCTCCCCACTGTCCACGCACACGGGGCCTCCAACGCCAGTCAGCTCCAGAGCCTCCTTTATCTGACTTTGTGCAGCATCATTTAAATTTATAATTAGCTTCTAATGCCAGTATTTATCAAACAGAACATTGCACATTAAAAAAAAAAACCTTGATTTAAGCTTTTCTTCAAAACATTGCAAGATGTGAAAACTCTGGGAATCCATTGCCAAATTGCCACCACCAACAGCTGTGCCCTCCGGAGGGCGCAGCGGCCACACCACAGGCCGCTCCTCGCTGCGCCCCGCAGGACACTGCTCCCAGAGAGCCTCACCCTGTCTGAACGCCCTCAGTCCCAGAAGGGCCGCGTTAAAGGGACAGGGCAACCCTGAGAAAGAGGACTGGCACTGGTACTGACACCCGAGTAGTAGGAGTTTTTGATGGAGTTGTCAGAGATTTACAGATAGTCCAGTCTCAAAAGGAATACAATCTTATGTGTGTTTTATGAGAGAGAGAGAGAAATAGTGTGTGTGTGCATGTGTGTGTGTGTGTCTGTGTGTATGGGTATGTGTGTGCATGTGTGTGGTGTGTGGTGGGTCTGCACATGCATGTGTGTGGTATGCATGTGTGTGTCAGTGTGTGCATGTGTCTGTGCATGTGTCTGTGTGCATGTGTGTGGTGTGTGCGTGCACACGTGTGTGGTCTGTGTGTGCGTGTGGTATGTGTGGTGCGTGTGCATGTGTGTGTGGTGTGCATGTGTCTGGTATGTGTGTGCATGTCTATGTGGTCTGTGTGTGTGTGTGTGCGTGTCTGTGTGTGTGTGTGCACTGGGGCTGGAACTCAGGGATCCAGAGCTGTCAGCACCCATCACGTGAACCAGGAACGTAATCTTTTTTTTTTTTTCTGGTCAGTCGTGGGACTTGAACTCTGGGTCTGGGCGCTGTCCCTCAGCTCTTCAGATCAAGGCAAGCGCTCTACCACTTGAGCCACAGCGCCACTTCTGGCTTTTTCTGCTTCTGTGGTGCTGAGGAATTGAACCCAGGGCCTCATGCATGCAAGGCAAGCACTCTACCACTGAGCCACCTTCCCAGCCCCGAGCATGATCTTTTTAAAGAAGCCAGAGACGGCGGGTTGTGGCTGGACTCCATGGTGCTGGGCTAGGAATGGATTTACTTCCCTGAGACGCTGAGGGCCAGCACTGGGGGCAGATGCCTAAGATGGACCAGAGGCCAAAGCACAGAACTACCCTCCGCAGTCTGGAAAGATCTGGGCCCTCCACAAGGAGAGGCTCTCTGCACCCTCGAGGGTGGGCCGCAGGACCCCCCATCGTGAGCATCAGGTCCCCTGCATCACAGGAAGCGATGCGGGGGTGGGGTGGGGGGCCTGCTGGTGGACCACAGCTGGCAGTGTGGGCAATCGAGCACCCGCGGCCCGGCCCCTCCATGTTCCCGACACTCCCCTCCACGGCGAAGGCTGATGGAAGACAGGAGGGCCGACCCCACCCGTCCTCAGACCTAGTCCACGTCAGACAAAAGCGGCTCTTCTCTTTGCCGGGCACAGAGATCACTGTGACTGGGTGCGGGGAGCCCAGGGGCTGGGCGGGGAGACCGAGGCAGCACCCCAGCCAAATCAGAGGACACGGAGGAGGGAGGCAGCCACACACAGCCCAGCGCTGCCCACTGTTCCCGGCACCCAGCTTTCCTGGCTCCCCGTCAGCCAGCACCTGCGGGTGGGGAGGGCCGCCTCAGCCTGCTGCTCACTGAGTTCCCCTGGCCTTTACAGCCATCACTGCGTGCCAACTTCACTGTACAACAGCCGCGGGCCTCCGAGGGGTGTCACGGGGCTACATGGAGCTCCACGGAGCTCTGAGAGGTGTCTCAGGGTTCCGAAGGGTGCCCGAGGGGTGTCACGGGGCTACATGGCGCTCCACGGAGCTCTGAGAGGTGTCTCAGGGTTCCGAAGGGTGCCACAGGGCTTTGAAGGGCACCACGGGGCACCACGGGCATTGCTTCTATTATCACAGGACAGCTATTCATATCAACTCTTACACACCACACAATACTCCATCGACTTGGTAACCCGCAAACTCAATCAAGTCCTCCCCAACCGCGACCCCGGGATTAGCCGAACACACTCATTAAAGATCAAAGAAAAAGGCTGCTGCCTGTGAGCTAAGAATCGGAAGACTCTGTCTCATTAGAATTTAATTTCCAGGCTGCCCAGCACAAATCACTACACACACACACCAGTGTGCACACGCGCACACGCACACACGCGCATCCTTCACCATCCTTCTGAGACCTGAAGCAGGCGCCGGGTGGAGAAGGGAACGAGGGGCAGTGGCCATCCCCTGCTCCCCTGCAGATCCGGCCGCCGGCAGCTGAGGGAGGGCCCCCCCGCCCCTCCCTCCCCCCCAGCCATGTGTGCCTCCCCTCCCTTC